GGGCGGAGCCCGGCCCGCTGGCGGCGGCGGCCCGGGCCGCCGTGCGCGCAGCGGCGGCGGCCGTGCCCATTTTTGCCCTCGTCGCGGACGCTGAGACAGAGGCTCGAGGAGGGAGGAGGCGGAGGGAGGAGGAGATGAGGAGGAGGAGGAGGAGGAGGAGGAGGAGGAGGGAGGAGAGGAGGAGGAGGAGGGAGGAGGGAGGGAGGGAGGGAGGGAGGGAGGGAGAGGAGGGAGGGGGAGAGGAGGGAGGGAGGGAGGGAGAGGGAGGGAGGGAGGGGAGGGAGGGAGGGAGGGAGGGAGGGAGGGAGGGGGAGGGAGGGAGGGAGGGAGGGGAGGGGAGGGGAGGGGAGGGGAGGGAGGGAGGGAGGGAGGGGAGGGAGGAGGGGAGGGAGGGGAGGGAGGAGAAAAAGGAAGGGAGGCGCCGGCCCCGCGCGGCTGCCCGGGGCCCGCCGAGCTGCGGGGCGGGCCGGGCGCGGTGGAGTGGCTGGCGCGGGAGCTGGGCCGGCTGCCCCGCGAGGCGCGGGGGTCGGCGGCAGGCCGCTGGGCCGAGGCGTCTGGCGCTGCGCGCGCGGACGAGGCGGCGGCGCTCTCGGCGTGCTTGAGTCGCTGCCCCGAGCTGCGCGCCGCCAGGGACGAGGCGCAGGGGAGGAGGAGGTAGCTGCTGTGACGTCGGGCCTGTCCCTCTCTGCAGGGGGGATGTCCAAGAATAGTCAGAAAATCGTAGGGGGACGGTTGTTTGATTATTTTTTTAGTTCAAGATATTTAGAAATATTTTCATATATTCGAATTTGGACTACGTTTGAACATTTTTGAAGTCTTTGTTATTTGTCGTCCAAAATCCGCCTGTAGGGGACATGCCCGACCTGAAACTACTGATTACCGACGCCGCTGCCCTTGCCTCGTTCTCCCCTTCACTGGGCCTCCTTGGAGGCCCTCGTCGCCACGGCTGGCTGCGCCCCGCAGTGCTGGCCAGAGCACATGCCGGGAGAGGTCTGGGGAGTAGCGGCATCGGTACGTTGTTGGAGACTGCTCTTTCGGTCCGGCGATCGCCCAGGTTATTGGGCCAGCCTGACCTTGTCGGTTGCGCAGGCCCGAAAGGAGCGCGCAGTACTGGCGTGTGCAGGCATGCGTGAGGCTGCCCAACGGCGAAACGGTTAGGCTATCGTCCAGCACCTCCACCTCCCCACCCCACCAGATATCCCAGACGATCGCCCAAACACACCAAACACTCTCTTGGCCCCCCGGGGCCCAGATATCCAGCGTCTCGATGTGTTCGAGACACGAGCCCCCCGACCTCCTTGACCACTTCCCAGGGACCGGCTCGTCATCCCGGGTCGTTTTTGAACGGCCCCGAGGCCCGTTCAGGGCGCCGAGAGGCCGACACCGATTCACAGCCGCCGCCTCGAGCTTGTCGAGACGCCGGGTGCCTGGGGAGGCCGGGCGGTCCCTGCTGCACCTGGCCGCGGCCGCCGGGGCGGCGGGCGCCGTGCGGGCCCTGCTCGGCCACGGCGCGCTCCTCGGGGGCTCCGCGGGCCCCGCCGCGTGCTGCGGGCTGGCGGCGTTCTCGGGGGGCCACCAGGAAGTCTTCGACCTGCTCGTGGGCCACGCCTGCCAGGCGACGCTGGCCGAGCGAGGGGGCGGCCCGGGGCGAGCGGGGGCGCGCCGCGGAGGCGAGGAGGAGGCGCCCGCGGCCAAGCGGCGGCGGCCCTCCCCGCAGGGCCCCTACCTGGGGCAGGCGCTGCGCTATGAGAGCGGCCGGCTGCTCGACGCGAGCGGCCGTGGCATCATGATGGGGTGGGAGGCTCCGCTGATGCGGCGCCACGCGTGCGCGCTGCTGCCGAGCCCCGGGGGCGCGGCGCTCAACGTCGGCTTCGGGCTTGGGCTCGTGGACGGCTTCCTGCAAGAGCGCCAGCCCGGCTCCCACGCCATCATCGAGCCCCACCCGGACGTGCTCCAGGAGCTCGAGCGCCAGGGCTGGCCCATGCGCCCGGGCGTCGCCGTGCACGCGGGCCGCTGGCAGGACGTGGTGGGCGAGCTGCGGGCGGGGTCCTTCGACGCCGTCTTCTACGACACCTGGCAGGAGACCTACGACGACCTCCTCGCCTTCATGCGCGAGGTCCCGCGCTTGCTGCGGCCGGGCGGGCGCTTCTCCTTCTTCAACGGGGCGGCGCCCCACAGCATCTTCGAGCACGCCGTCTTCTGCAGGCTGGCCCAGCAGGACCTGCACGCCCTCGGGCTCCGCTGCGATTTCTGCCCCGTGGAGCTCGGGCCGCTCGGGGACGACGTGTGGCGGGGCGTCAGGCACCGCTACTGGGCCTTCGAGACCTACTACTTGCCGCTCGCCGCCAGCGCCGCCGCCGACGCGCTGGCCCGCCCGGAGCCGGAGGGCCCAGAGGGCTCCGACGCGTCGGTCTGGCGTCGCTGGCCCAGCGGTGCGGTGCGGGTGCACGACCGCGTCGGTGCCGGCGTGCCTCTGTCCGAGTTCGGGCTCGAGCCGTGAGGCCTCGCTGGAGGCGCCCGGAAGCGGAGGCGATGCGAGCGTCGCCCCCAGACTTTCCAGGTGCAGTCTGGCTCAACGGCAGGCTCGGGCTGCGTGTCGCACAGCACATCGGCTCAGCTGGAACAATGGGCACGGGCAGCACGCTATCTGCGAGGATTGGGTCCAGTACTTCGACAGCAGCCGCGGCACTGCTTGGCACAATCCGGAGGAATTCGTGATTTTGGGGCAGTGCTGAATGGGACCGCTGCTTCAGTGTATCAATGGGGCAGATCTAGATTCGGTTCGTTATCAAAGCAAAAGGGGGCCAGCGACTGCCCCGATGCGCTGGCGATGCTCCTGGCTCCAGACTTTCCAGGTGCAGTCCGAGTGTAAGTATGGGGTGGGGGGATCGCGCCACATCACCGATGAGAATCCCCGATGCGGCTCGATGTGGAGCACGATTTCTCCACGCCGACGTCACCGATGCATCGGCGATGCTGCGCGATCCTTCGGCCCCATCTACTCGGACCCCAGTTGGGAGGCCTCTGTCGACTGAGAAGCGGGTCCTGACGGAAGCTGGCCTTGGACCTCGGGGCGTGCCCCAGGACCAGCCCTCCGCCCCGAGCCGTCCTGGGGCCGCTCCCGCAGGCGGTGAGTTCGTGGCTCCCTCTCCAGCTCAGGCGGCAGGGCCGTTTCTCATCCTGAGCACTCGCCGTGTGGAGGAGGAGGAGGAGGAGGAGGAGGAGGAGGAGGAGGAGGAGGAGGAGGAGGAGGAGGAGGAGGAGGAGGTGTGCGTGTGTGTTGTTTTTGCGTGCAGGGTGGACGCCGTCCCCTGCTCGGGCAGCTCGCTGCCTGGACGCCTTGTGGCGTGCGCGGTGGGGCCCTCCTCCGAGTTTCCTACTAAGCGCGGGGGGGGGGGGCGTCACCCCCCGCTGGCAGCCTCACATCGACCCCCGTCGCAGGCAGCCGTCGCGCGCCGAAGGCGCTCCGACCCCCGTCGCGGCGCGACGACGAGGCGAGGTTGCCCCCCGTCGGGGGGGTACCCCCCCACGCTTATCAAGAAACCCAGAGTAGGTGGTTCTCTCCCTCGCCTATGCTGGGCGAGATCGCCTGTGGCGTGGGCCATGGGCTCAGGCGTTTAGTTTGCGCTGCTTCTCGTGGGCCCGTCGAGTTTGCCTGCGCTCTCGGCTGCTCGGTCCCATTCGGCCGCGGCGAGGCGCAAGTTTGGCAGACCTTGTGGCGCACCCAGGTATTATTGTTCTTATTGGTATTATTCTTATTCGTCTTCTTTTTCTTATTATTACGTTTCTTCATCTTATTTTTCGTCGTCGTCGTCGCCGTCGTCGTCGGCATCGCCGCTGCCGCCTCTAGCATCATCACCATCTTCACCACCAGTCACAGCCCATCGTTCACCACTCCTCGTCACCATCATCATCATCATCACCATCACCATAACCATCATCATCGCCATCGCCACGATTGCGCATTGTCACCATCAGCGTCCTCACCACAATCACCACAAAGTCACCGGCACCGTCACCGTCGTCGTCACCATCGGCATCGGCATCGTCACCGTTGCCATCACCACCACCGTGCCCCTCCCTCGTCATTCCAATCCTCCTCCTCCCCCTCCTCCTCGTCCTCCTCCTCCTCCTCCTCCTCCTCCTCCTCATGTTTATCCTCCTCCCCGACGCCGCGCCTCGAGGCCGGTCCCGCATCCCGCGCCGTCCTTTTTGCCGACCCCCCCTCTTTGGCCGGCGAGGGCCCCGGGAGGCGGGCGGGTGCCAAAAGCGGGCCGGCGAGCTCCCGACCACGGCGCGGGGCGGCCGGGCCCACCCCGCACCCGCTCCTCCTCGCCTCCTTCTCCTTCTTCTCCTCCGTCAGAGGAGGAGGAGGAGGAGGAGGAGGAGGAGGAGGAGGAGGAGGAGGAGGAGGAGATGGAGGAACAGGGGGGGAGGAAGAGGGGGAGGAGGAGGAGGAGGAGGAGGAGGAGGAGGAGGAGGAGGAGGAGGAGGAGGAGGAGGAGGAGGAGACCTCCGCAGCCAGGCTCAAGCCGTTGCCTGGGGTTTTCGCCTTCCCTGGGGTTGGGGGTCAGGCTGGTCGAGGGACCCGCACGACCCCGACCAGAAGCCATGCCAAGGGTGGGGGTCTTCATTAGCGAGGTCTATTGTCAGATTTAGCCCGCCGAATTTTTAGGAACCTTTTGATGTCAGGTGGCTGGCATGGCGCGACAGTCTGGAGGTGCAGCCAATATGGATGCGGGAAGACCACGATGGCAGAGGCCTGGTGCAAGCACTGCCGCTGCCACTGGAAGACGGGACGGGCACACCCAAAAAAACCAAAGGCCAGGGCAAGGACGTTGGTTCTCCTGCTGGCCTGGGCAGTGGCGGTGGTGCAGGTGGAGACGTGCGAGGTCCACCCCTGCCCGTCGGCATCTTGCAAGCAGCAGCCGACCCCGTGCCAGAACTGTCGGTTGGCGAGAAAGCAACTTGTCGAGCTCGGCATGAAGAGCAACAGTACCAGCCTTGTCGAGTACCGCCAGCAGATGCTGCCGATCAAGGGTAAGCATTCCGTGCCGCCCCAGGCCAGGGCCGACCAGGTTCACAAGTGCATCAAGCAACACGAGGCGGACCTTGCTAAGGTTTCGCGTGCGCTCGAACAGCTGCAGGGCCAGGTCAGCATGTAGGAACAGCAGGTTCGAGCTCTGTTGGGCCAGATTGAGGGTCGGATTGCAACGAAGGATTGCAACAAAACCCTTCGGTTTTTTTGCAATCCTTCGTTCGAGGGTTTTTTTGTAATCCTTCGGTTTTTTTGCAATCCTTCGTTCGAGGAGGTCTACAGAGAGGCGATCAAGGAACTGCACGCCGTGGTCGTGCCGTCGCCGCGGCCCCAGCAGCAGATCCCCACGCCCAGCCTCGGCGACCTGCCGATGGCAAACTACAGGAGCAGAAGCTGTCATGCGGCGGGGACCCCTTTTGGTCTGGCAGAGATCGCGGAGGTGGCCGAGTCAAAACCGCGCAGAGGCGAAGAAGCGAGAGGAGCAGCTCCAGGAGCAGTTCCAGTCGTCGGCGCAGACGGTGCTCGGAGACATAAAACAGATCGCGGATCTGTACAAGAAGGAGCATGATTGAAGCATGCCAACAATTGTTTTCGGGATTCCAACTCTACGGATCAACCTGATTGTTGCGTCTTGACGATCTTGAATCGTGCCAGAACGACATTCCTGGGATTTCAACACAGCGAACCAACGTAACCGTTACACCAACATAATCGTGAATCTTTCCAAAGCCCAATTTCTGGCACGCTGATGGTGGGAATCCGTGAAACTCTTGCAAGTGTTTTAATCGAACGTGCGCCGCGCCAAGGCAAGAACCACATGTTGAAAGGAGCCGTCCTCAATCAGTGAAATTCTAGCAAATGTTTAAAACGAATGTGTGCCGCACTAAGGCGAGAGCCACATGTTGAAAACGGCCCGCCCTCAATCCGTGAAACCCTTGCAATGTTTAAATCGAATGTGTGCCGCGCTAAGGTGAGAGCCACATGTTGAAAACCACCCGCCCTCCACCTCCGAAGCTGTTGCCAACTTTTAGCTTCAGAGTCATTATTGGTGAGGAAGTCTCAGGCGAAAACGCCCAGCCCGCCCTAAAAACTGGCCTCGGGGTGCGACAGGGCGAAGTTATTCATCAGGACAAGGAATGGAGGAGGTGGAGGAGGAGGATGAGAGGTTCTTTCCTGAGGAGGAGGAGGACCAGGAGGAGGAGAGGTTCGATCCTGAGGAGGAGGAGGATGAGAAGGAGGAGGAGAAGGAGGAGGAGGAGGAAGAGGAGGAGGAGGAGGAGGAGAGGTTCTTGATCAGGAAAATGGATGGATGAGGAGGAGGAGGAGAAGGAGGAGGAGGAGGAAGAGGAGGAGGAGGAGGAGGACGAGGAGGAGGGGGAGGAGGAGGAGAGGTTCTTTCCCGAGAGGGTCTGGGCCGCCGCCCCGAAGCGCGCCGCACGCCTGGGAGAGGCCCCCCCCCCCCGCGCCCCCGGTGCGCCGCGCACGTCGCAGGCCGGGCTCCCCGGGCGCCCGGGCCTTCGCCGGCAAGGCGCACACCTAGCGGGCCAGAGCGGCGGCATGGTCGTCGTCGTCGTCGTCGTCGTCGTCGTCGTCGCCGTCGTCGTCGTCGTCGTCGTCGTCGTCGTCGACGGCGGCGGCGGCGGCGGCGGCGGCGGCGGCAGCGGCGGCCGCGGCGGCGGCGGTGGCGGGCCGCGCGCGCCTGTGCGGCGCAGCAGCGGCGGCGCCCGCCCGTCTCAGACGGGGGGGCCCCCACTGGGGGCCCCCTCCCAGGCGGGCAGGGGCTTCGGTCGAGGCCTCCCAGATGGAGTCCCAGTAGATGGGGTCGGAGGATGGCGCTGCATCGCCGATGCGGCTCAACGCGGACGGAGCCTGAATTTCTCCACGCCGACGTCGCCGATGTATCGCCGACGTCGCCGACGCATCACCGATGCATCGCCGATACATCGGCGATACATCGGCGATGCGGTGCAATCCTCCGACCCCGTCTACTCGGACCCCGTCTGGGAGGCCTCTAAACTAAAGAGTGCCCTCGACGGCAAGGCGCACACCTGGCCGGCCAGGGCGGCAGGGGGCTCAAGAGACGGAGGACAACTGAGCGACCCAGAGATCGGGATCGTCTTCGCCGACATTCGCGCGTAAGCTGCCCGCGTAAGGTCGCGCGTGAGCGCCTGCGTCTCCAATGTGGCGTGCCACGATGGCGCCCCGCGTAAGCCGCCGCGAAAGGCCCCTGTGCCATCTCGTGGGCGATCCGTTCTTGATCGTCGCTCAAGTCGTCTACGTGTAAGAGTGACCTTTCGCCAGAGTGACGCTTGGTGCGGGCTCAGTGGGATCCCCCCTATCGCTGTGCGCGATGCGATAGCAGCGGCCTGCGCGCTTAGGTTTGGCCCCCTCGTGCCCCCCAAAAGCCGCGCACCAAAGGTCACTCTTGCCTAGGGTCACTCTTGCGCGTTGTCGATCAAGAG